GAAGCGAGGTGCACCCACAATCGCTCGCGCGGCCGCATTCTGAACTAGCTGAAGTCGCCGAATGCTCTTCAAGGGATTCAAGGATTCCGGTTTTCTAACTTATTCTAGGGGGGGGGGGCTTTAGGAGTTGTTCCCATTTGCCTGGTCATGGCAGGTGGTGGGAAGGGTCACGTCCATCAGCCCCCTCTTCTCCAACTCCCTGTTCCCCCGAGTTCAAATCTGAAAGGCAGCCATGGACAGGATGAGTTCCTTTCGGATGCTGTGGGGGAATTAAGTGAATTTTGAGGACATAGAAAACCCGCGGAGCCCCAAACTGCTCAACAAAAGACCCACAACCCATTTTGAACCGCACCCTCATCAGGCCCTGAGAACTGGGCATTAAGGCAGAGTGTCAACAATTTGTGGGTTCTCCCCTTAGCTTCCCTGTTTCCCGTCCATCTCTCAATGGGAAGTCACTGTGATGGAGCAACGGAGGTGTTGGACCTGGACTGGGGGGAGCCAGATTCAGATCCATCTCAGCCAAGGGAAATGAATAAGAAGTGGCTCTCCCGGTCTCTCTCTTGAGTTCCTCCTACCTCACAAATGGAGTTGTGGTGCAGATAAGATGAAGGAAACTCTCCTCCTTAAATTCCTGCAGGGAAAAAAAATGGAATGGATCTAACAAGTACAGAATACAGAATAATCTATGGATCACTGGAACAAACAGGATTTCGTGGACAACCTAGAATAACAAGAGTTGGAAGGGACCTTGGAGGTCTTCTAGTCCAACCCTCTGCTCAAGCAGGGGACCCTAAATCATTCCGGGCGAATAGCAGTCCAATTTCTTCTTTAAAATCTCCAGTGTATTAATACCTGTGTATTAAGTACTACATAAGAAATGTCCTTCTGTGGATGTTCACACTTGTAATGCCTTCTTTCTGGCCTTATTATCTGAATATTCCTGACTATTTCCTAAAGCTGTGCTGATTCCCTGTCTCTGCAGTCTCCTTTCCTGTTTTAAAAAGCAGGAGAGAGAAACTGCTGTGCTAGTGAAATATCTGTGAAAGGGGTTCAATTGTCCTACCAGCCACCATCAACCAGTCCAAAGAGGCTCATCAGGCTGTGGAAATTGCATTGCTTCGTAGCTTCCTTCAGCTCCTGTGCACACATTCATGATTTTGTACTGTTTTTGTAACCTCCCAAACCTATTTATAATAATAAAAAAGCAGCAAGGTTGCATTAGTAGAANCCCCGCTCAGAGAAGCTCCTGAAGGCATCCGACAGAATCAAAACGGATAAAATTAGCAATTAAAAACGAAGGGCTGCTAATGAGAAATCCATTCAGTCAACAGATATTTAGTAAAACCCTTTCTCCATCTTCTCTGTCGTTCTGTCCCCCCCCCCCCCTCCGGGGATAAAGCCCACTTAATCAAAAACTCATTTAGCAACAGGAATTGTGGTCGTATTTCGAGAACGACTCATATCGATCAGTGCTGGGAATAAGTCATAGATCCATTTTGGGCTCTGCAATTCCTTAAAACTATCAAAATTTGACATGCAATTTCTGGAAGATTTAAAAGCGAAGCTGGGTAAGAGAAGGGAGGAGAGAGGAGGGAAAAAAAAAAGGAATACTTTACTTTTTGGCCATTGAAATATTCACCTCCGAACAGGATGAGCTCGTCTTTCTCGGGGTGTGCAGAGAGAGAGGCGTTGAGCCTGGGAACAAGAGGAAAAAGAGTTTTGCGCAAACCAAACGCAAGATTTCAGGGGACAGAGCTCATGAGGACTAGCAGCTTTTCACTGGGGATTGAAGGGGTGCACACAAGGCGTTTTGAGGCCAAACTTCCCCAGCTGCCCAAAATAACCTTCGCGTTTTCCATTCTCACCTCGGGGAGGGAGGGGCGCAGGGGGTCTCCAGCACCTGCGTCTTTGCAGCGTCCAGAGACTGGAACTGGGCGATCAGCACCTCCAGATCCTCCTGCAATCCCAGAAAGAAACGGCTTGGTTTTGCGACAAAAAAGGGAGACAAACACCACCCACCCACCCCCAAAAAAGGGATCACCGCAGCTCATACTTTCACACATATGTTTTGCGTGCGCATATAACTTTGGCGAAAGAGATTGTAAGGAGATCAAAATGGATACTGAAAAGAGACGGAGCAGATGAAGAAAAAAAATAGCGTACAGCAGGAGAAGAAATTAGGAAAAAAGAAGAAAAAAGGAAACAATATTAAGAAACACCTTCCAATCTTCTTAAACAGGGTTGTAAATGCATTAATGTTTTACTCCCTTCTCTCTCTCTCTCTCTAAAGTCACATCATGCTTTCCTTCCATAAGCTGCCCTTTCTAACTCAAATTCGTTACAAACCACACATTCGTTTTTCTCTTTGTTTTTCCCTCCAGCAAAAATAAAATAAAATGGGTGGGTGGGAATATTTCCCAGTCCCTGTTGCACGTTTCCTTCCCTTGCACTGATTTGTTGCACTCACTCACTACTCCTACCCTTCTCTTGCAGGGATGGCAGAGAGGAATCGTGCAGGCAGGGACCCTCCTGCAGGAGAAAGTGGGAGAGAGGAGGGGTGGGGAAGAGTCTGGACCTGTTGGGTTCCTGCCTGCCCTGCAGCTGCCCCCCAGCAACAGCCTTCCAAAATCACCTCCTCTTTCTTGGTCCTCTTGGAGACTTTCTTCTCCATCTTGGCAGCCGTCTTCTCGGCCCCCTTGGCCTTCTTCTCCTTCTTATTCTTCTTGCCCATCTTGGCAAGCCAGGGCAGGGCAGGGGGCTGCGGGAAGCTGGCAGGTGTCGCTCACATGGCAGCCCCAGCGGACTTGCAATCTCTTTGCCTTTCCTCTTCCCGGGGGCACTTCCTGCCAGCGAAAAGAACCAGGAGGAGGAGGAGAGGCCGAGACTGCAAAAAAAAAAGGGTTGCCATCTGTGGGAGGGAGGTTTGCCTTGCAAGGCTTGACTGCAGCATTTGCAAAATAAAAGCATTTGCAAAAATCAATAATGGAGGCTCTTGGCAGCTCAGGGTTGACAGCAGGGGAGGGGGGATCCTTGGTGCTCTCCAAGCTGGGCCTTTTTCTTGCAGACGTTTATTTAATTTTATTTATTTATTTTGGTTTGTCAAGCATGTATGAGAAAACAAGTATGAATGTAACATCAACATATAAGTATAAGCAGTTCAGATCTGAGCCTGGTGCCGAAGCCACTGATGGAGGCCAGAACACGAGGTGCGGGTTTTCTGATTGCTTTTTATTGGGGTACTCCAGGGAAAATAGCAATAGCAGTTAGACTTATATACCGCTTCATAGGGCTTTCAGCCCTCTCTAAGCGGTTTACAGTCATACTATCGCCCCCCCCACAGTCCTCCCCCCCCCCCGCCCCCCATTGCTGGTTGGAAGTCTCAGATAC